TGGCCCTGCTCTCTGGAATGCTTGGGGCTGGCAGAGCCAAGCCCTGCCCCCCGCCCCCCACCTCTGCCAAGGCTAGGGGAGGGCTTGGGCGAGGGAGAGCAGGAGGAGAGTAGAGCTGGGGAGGAGGAGGAGGAGGAGCCCGAGCTTCGGCGGCCTAAGCGCCCTTAGGGGCTGGGGTTGGGGGATTTAGGAACCTTCATCCCACCCGGCGCCATGCGGGAGTAAGATGCCTGCAAGTCGTGTCCCAGAGCTGCTATGAGGCACTTGACTGAATCTTTAGTTGACCCGAGGGTTGTTCTTCAACGTGATCATTTTCAGGAGACGACTTTTCTCCTGAAGTAACCAAGAGCTTTCACTCATCGTTGCCCAATTCCCCCAGCCCCGCCAATCTTTCTTGGTTTTGGTTTGATCTTTCAACTTAATCTGGAACTCTGGTGGAGAAGAACCGGGTTTGGGGTTTCTGCTTCTTCAAACACTTCCAGCTCGAGATCTATGTGGGAAAATGACCTCAGAGTCACCCAGAGTAGTTGCTGTTACCTGTGGGAACAGATGTCTAGCATTAGAACAAGTCAACACCAAACATTTATTGCTCAAATGTGTTGTCTGGACTGTGAGTTCCACTACTGTCCCTGGTGCGCCTTTTGTCCAGAGGAAGCCAGTCCACCTTACATGAGTCCTCGCTGCTCATTTGTCCCTATCTGCCCCATAAAGTTTCTGCAGTTCCCTTCCCCACTCAACCCCACTTGCTTTCTTCATTATTTCAGGCAGCTCCTTTAAATGGCAGCTGTCTTAGGCAAGGGAGGCTAGGAGACTGGTTACCTTGAGTAACTTCTTGTGACTGATTGGGCAACTCAATAGCACAGCTTTTATTTATTTGTTTTTTCCTTGTTTCCCTAAGAATAGTCCACAGCCTAATTCACTTAGCAAAAAAAAAAAAAAAAAAAAACGGTTTTTGTTACCCTTGTTTAAGTACAAATTAGCAACCAGGCAGTGGTGGCCCAAGCCTTTAATCCCAGCACTCAGGAGGCAGAGGCAGGCAGATTTCTGTGAGTTCGAGACAAGCCTGGACTACAAGAGCTAGTTCCAGGGCAGCCTCCAAAGCCACAGAGAAACCCTGTCTCGAAACCCCCCCCCAAAAAAAAATAGCTACTAAGCTTCAGATACATTCTTAATTGGTACCCGAGTCCCCAGTACTCATCGCCTTCTCTGTAGTTACACAGTCCAGCATCCTGCCTAGGGGATGGTGCTGCCCACCGCAGACAGGCCTGCCTGTATCTACTGGTGTAATCCCGGCAATCCCCCACAGACACCAAGTCAGCTTCATCTAGAGATCCCACATTGAGATCCTCTTCCCAAGGGATTCTAGATTGTGTCAAGTTGACCATTAATCCGATCATCAGAGGTCTTCTAAATTCAAGTTGTGGCATCCTTGTAGAGCTTGAAGGTTTTCATTTTACTGTGCTGACAAGGCTTGGCCTCAAGAAACATCTACACTGTCCTGGCGAAGCTTAGTTTTCTCCTCCAGTACAGGGAACTTATCTTCTTTTTTTCTTTTGAGACAGGGTTTCTCTGTGTAGCTTTGGAGCCTATCCTGGCACTTGCTCTGGAGACCAGGCTGGCCCCAAACTCACAGCGATCCGACTGCCTCTGCCTCCCGAGTGCTGGGATTAAAGGCTAGCGCCACCAAAATGCCCGGCAGAGCTTATCTTCTTATAGTCTTTGTATCCACATAGCATTTAGCTCGCATAGTATATACGTTTAGCTCATTTAGTATATACATATTAATCACTTGATTGGCTGCTAAAAATGAGGCATATTTGAGTATGTCATAAGAATTGTTAGCAAAGAGGAGTCAGTATGAGAAGTGGATGATGTAGGATTTGAACCCATTACTGAAGTGTGACTAGGAGGGATCAGAAAGAGAAAAATAGACAAAGACAATACATATGTGAGGAATACATGACCACAACTGGAGCATGGTTGGTCTGGTAGTTGAGAGTAAACAGGGAAACTTATTGATTAAAAAAAAAAAACTCACATGACAGGTATTAATACTTCTATTGGTAATAAAAATGCAAATTACATGGGGGTTGATATTAATCATTCATAACTAATAACGTGACGTGATGATAGCATTGAAGGGCAAGAAGCTGGAGGCAAGGGACCATTTGGAGGGAAGTCATTTGTGATTTATGGAAAAAGTATAATAGACTATGTCCCTAGGGCAAAGCATCCCCACAGGAAAAATAATTTAAAACATAAAGATCTTCTTCAGGGTTTCTTTTTTTCCTGTGATAAAAATGAAATCGCTGCTATAACCTGTCTCCATTTGTGTTGTGCAGAAAGCTTCCCTGGAGCCTAAGTCATACTGACACTTTACTTTGTGAACTTCCTCCACTTATTTTCTGGCTGATTGTTACCATGGGCAGTTTTGTTTTCTGAGACTGGCTCTCACTGTGTATCCCTGGCTGGCCTAGAACTTGCTACTTAGACCAAGTTGGCCTTGAACTCATAGATCCACCTGCCTCTGCCTCCTGTGTGCTGGGACTAAAGGCTTGTGCCGCCACTCCCTGGTAGAAGTTCTTTCTTACTATATGGAATACTGAGTATTCTGTGAGAAACTGCCTCCAGCCCTCATGATCCTGGTCATAGTAATGCACACCTTTAATTTCAGCACTCAGGAGGCAGAGTCAGGTGGATCTCTGTGAGTTTGAGGCCAGCCTGGTCTACAGAGCTAGTTCCAGGACAACCAGAGCTGTTACACAGAGAACCCTGTCTCAGAAAAACAAAACAAAAAGAAAGAAAGAAAGAAAGAAAGAAAGAAAGAAAGGAAGGAAGGAAGGAAGAAAGGAAGGAAGAACCTCTGATCTTTCCAAGCTGTCTCCATGCGCACTGAATGTCCTTGATGCTGAGAAGAGAGGCAAACACCAGGTCCTCACCAGGCCCTGCTCCAAAGTCATCATTCAGCTCCTAACTGTGATGATGAAGCACGGTTACCTCGGTGGATTTGAAACCATTGATAACCACAGAGCTAGGAAAATCATTGTGAGCCTCACAGGCAGGTTGAACAAGTCTGGAGTGATAGGCTCTACAGTTGATGTCAACTCCAAGACCTAGGAAAATGGCAGAGCGATCTGCTCCCATCCTGTCAGTTTGACTTCATTGTACTGACCGCCTCTGCTGGCAGTGTGGACTATGACGAAGCAAGAAGGAAACACACAGAAGGGAAAAACCCTGTGATTCCTTTCCTAGGGGTGTAAAACACATGAATAAAAATCCTCCATGGGGGGGGCAGGGAGAACTGACATGTGAAACAAGCGTGTTCCTAATTTGAACTAATAAAAAATTTAATTAAAAAAAAAAACAATCCAGGTCCAGTGGATTGAATGTCTTCTGTCCTCTTCAGGTACACCTCTACTTGTCTCTCTCCCTCTCTCTCCTTCATCTCTTCTCTCCTCT